TAGCTCAACATGTCATGCATTATGCCGGCAGAACCCCTTCACATTGCTATAGCTAACCCGTGAAAGGGAGCTCTGGTGACGTAATCAAATGGACTTGCACTGGAGCCTCTTGGGTCATTCGAATCTACTAATGGTTTCAAGGGAGAAAGATGGCTAATCATCCCCCGTGCAATTCACAGCCTCACAAAGATCTCTGGAGGGTCAGTTATGAGTTGGTTCCAACTAGATGGCAATGAGTGAATGAAAAGAAATTCTTGAAAAGGATCACATAGCCTGTTCCCTTGGTGTACTGGTGTGATAGGAATGGGGAAGCCAGACGATGGCTATCTAAAAGGATGTTAAAGCTTGAAGCAGCTGGCTTACCCACTTTCACAAATGTAGTTATTAGTAATATAATTGTAAGGGAGGAAAAAAACCCTCATAAAATCTGTAAATAAACTATAATATAAATGGAAGATTCTAAAAAGCAGTCTACATGCATGAAACACAATGATAAAATGTTAATTAAAAAGATAAAAATGTTAATTAAAAAAAGATAGCATGCTTGGTAAAGAAGTTGTTGTTGTTGTTGTTGTTGTTGTTGTTGTCCGTCATCAACTTGCCTACGATCCATAGCAACCCTATGTACAGCAGCTTTGAGCCCGTCCGTGTCTTGAGACAGTCTCCCTCATTCCAACACACCAACCCCTCTTGCCCCAGTTACTGTTTCAATCCATCTGACCCGGGGTTTTCCTCTCCTGTTCTGTCCCTCCTTCCTTCCAAGTATGATGCCCTTCTCCAAGGACCGGTCTCTCCTGGACACATGCCCAAAGTATGAGATGGGGATGATTCTAAGAACACAATACAAATTCAACACGAGGAAAGATAATGAAAATAAAAAAGACATGTTTTAGTTCCTTAGGGCTGTCATAATAAAACTTCACAAAATGAGAAGTCTTAAAAATAAAAAATTATGTGTGTCACAATTCTAAAAGCTAAGAGTACAAATCAGAGTATCTGCCATGTTGATTTCCTTCACAGGGCTCCCAGAAAGGACATCCCTGTGTCCAGCCCCCAGCTGCAAACACCCCTTGGTGTTCCTGCACTTGTAGATACGTCTGCACATAGTGTCTTCCCCTATGAGTTGTTTAATGTGCCAAGTGCTAGGAACATGGCTGTGTTTCCTAAGACATCATTCTGATGGGATTGGCGTCTACTCTAGTTCTAGCTTAGTTAGCCTCATGTTAACCCAATGATAACAGTTCTATTTGCAAATACGGTCACCTTCACAAGTACAGGGATTTAGGACTTCACCCTATCTTTGTGGAGAACAGAATTCACATATGTATCATATACAATGTATGATGTGAAGGTAGAGAACAGGCAGACTTGGTGCTGATGGTGACTCCCAGATCACAAGCTGCCTGTGGCCCTGTGCCCCTTGGTGGAGATGCTTTACCACATGGCCATCATAGAGATACCATCCTGAAGGCAAGACCCAGTTCACGCAGGAGATTCACTGAAGCTTTTAAAGGAAGCTGTCAGCACCAAGATGTAGGAGTGCACCAGGGAACCCTGGGGAGATGTAAGCCATTGAGTGGGGCTGTGACAAGGAAGCAGTTTATATAACGGCGAAGACATCCAGGCTGCTGTCAAGCTCAGGATCGCCATGTGCAACATCCTGTCGGCAGCTGCAGAGAGATTGTAATTCCACCGCTTGTCACTCCCTTGGTATGTACAGGGCAGCACATGGCTGTCCATGTGGGAGGGTGCGTGAGTCCCAGGAGAGTGGAATTGGGAGTTTGCCTCTAAGAGAAGTGTTGAGCCTCGACGACTTCAGTTACACAGAGCAAGCAAGGTTGCTTTTAAATGAAAGCATTTGGCTTTCACAGCACATGTTATGACATCTACTTATAGAAAAGGCTAGAATAGTCCCCAGAATTATAAAAGCCAACACCCGACAAGCCTTCCTAGACCTCAGCACCTGGATCTCCTTGCACTGTAATCTTAGTCCACATAGCCACCCTTTATCAATGATTTTTCTAGAAAGCAGATGTGACCGAGAACTTTCCTAGTGAAGGGAATTCCAGGAAACTACTGGAGAGAAAGCCTGAGAGCAAGTTCTCCAGAAGGCAAGGACAAAAGGGGCTGCCCAGCCTTGACAGGGTGCCCTTTTCCTTTCTTCAAGGCCCGTGACAATACACATTGTTTGTCAGGTGTATGTCCTGCTCACGCTGATGTAGTGGGCAAGTGTTGTAGAAGACGAGGGAGGCAGCTAGTCCTGAGATCCACTGTGCCGTCACGGGTCACATCACACAAACTGTGGACAAGGAGTCCTTTTTTCCAGCAGCTCCTTGCTCACTAATAGCAAGCATTTCATCCAGAGCTCAGTGATGCCACTTACAGACAGCCACCAGGAGGACTTCCTGGAGGCATCGTATGAGCCACCACCTCCCTGAAGTGACACGCCATTCCCAGGCTCCTTCTGGGGACAAATGAGAACACTACAGTGGGCACAAATAAGCCTTCTTCCAAAGGACAGTGAAAACTAGACTAAGAGAGAAGGCTATGGAGACAAGGCTTAGAACCTGTTCCAGACATGGTGTAGCATTGATGTTGCAGTGTTGAAGCTACAGAAGCTCTAGAAGCTGTGACAGGGGAGGTGTGAGTGAAACACCTGAAGGTATCATTGGCTTAGGGCAGTGCTGAAATATTAAGGAGTGACTCGTTAATGATCAGCTTCTGCTACTGTGTGTTGTTTTCCATGTATGCATTCAATCATTAAGAATAAAAAGATCCAAAACAACTATGAGATATCATCTCACCCCAGTCAGAATAGCAAAATATAACAGAACAGCAAGCAACAAATGATGGAGAGATTGTGGAGAAACTGGAACCCTTATTCACTGTTGGTGGGAGTGTAAAATGGTGCAACCACTGTGGAAGGTGGTATGGCACTTTCTCAAAAATTGCAAATAAAGATACCATTTGACCCAGCAATTCTACCACTGGAAATATACCCCAAAGAGACCATAACTGACATCCAAGCAGATATATGCACACCCATGTTTATCGCGGCTTTGCTCACAAAAGCAAGGATTCAGAAACAACCTAAGTGCCCACCAACAAACGAATGGATAGAGAAGCTTTGGTATATTCACACGCTGAAATACTATGCAGCATTGAAAAACAAGGAACTCATGCAATATTATTCAAAATGGGTGACCGTGGCGGACATTATGCTGAGTGAAGTATCTCAGTTACAAAAGGACAAATACTGCATGGTGCCACTGTTGTAAAGCAGGACTGACCTCGGGGTTGGGGGAGACTGAGAAAGATGAGTTCATTAATGTATACTACATTGAAGAAGATGAGGGAGAAAACTGTTTAAAAGGGATATATGATTAGGTATTATTGTCATGACAGGAGTCCAGAGCGAAGGCTGCATAGTGGAGTAGACCTGGGGGGAGGGATTGTAAAACAATGAAAGAATTTTTTTCCAAGAGGGTAGTATAATGGGGGGAGGGTTGGGAGGGGAGAAAAGTGCAACAATGAATGAATGGAAATCCAAAGTCTCTGTAAATTTTCATCGAAATTAATAATACATTTTTTAAAAAGAATTAAACTATGAACAACAACAACAACAAAAAGAATAAAAAGATCATTTTTCTTTGTCTATTCCTTACACACAGTAGGTTCTAAGTACCTGAGCTCTAGAATGTTGCATTGAGAGTTCCAGACATCAACAATTTCTTGTAAAAGTTAAAAATTAAAAATTCTCAGGGCATAAATCTAATCACATGGGTTCGTGAGATGTGGCTACGTCGTTCCCTAATTGTTTTTATTGTTGGACTCCACAGTGATTTTCCCTATTCAAGTTCTAAAACTATAATCCTCACAGAGGGAGCTTTGGAGGTGTCTCTAAGGGGTTAACTAAAAAAGGCTGCACCTCTCTGGAGGTTTAAATCTGCCATATGCTCCTTTGGAGAAAGAGAGGCAATTTCCTCCCATTTATTTTACAGCATCAGAAAGATCTGGAAAGTCAGCTATGAAATGGTTCTGATTTGATGACAATGATAATCTTTACAGCAGCTTGTTGCTATATCTTTCTTCCCCAGGGCCAGTTGGTGAGTTCTAACTGCCAATCTTTCAGTTCATAGCCAAATGCTTAATCATTGTGCCAAAAATTATCTTCCTTTTGCTAATACCATTCCTTGCCTGTTCAGAATCTGACTCATAGCACCCCTGTCAGGCATAGCAGAATTGCTTCAAAGGAACCCCAAGACTAGCATGTGGATGCAGGTTGCCACCTCTTTCTCAGAGAGACTGACAGATTTGAACCATTCCGTTAGGAACCTATTGCTTCCCCAGTTACCCTGTGCTACCAGGGACCCTTTCGATTGCTAATCTGTCACCCTCTCATTCATTGCTCTCCAGTCTGGATGGACTCGTAGCTGACCCATTAGAGGCTTTCCAAGGCTGTAAATCACATGGGAAAAGACTGACCATTTCCCTCCTCAGGAGCAAGTGGTGGGTTTACACCATCAACAGCTTTTCAGTTAGATGCAAAAGTCGCTATTGACCGCACCATCTGAGTTCCCTCCTTTTATTAATAGGAAGATTCAATTCCTATCAAAAAAGGGGAAACTTGATTGACTGTGGAGGCAACTACAAGCAGGCAGTTGAAGATGGTAGAGACTCCTGTCTAGGGTGAGATTTCTTCACCTCTGAACTGTGAACTCAGTGAGCAAGTTGGTTGGAAATTCAGTAACAGCCTCTGATGATGGGAGGGGGGGTGGGGAGGATAGAATTTCAAAGCACTTTGTACTCCATTTTATTATTATCTTCGTTTTAAGCTTATCTGTTTTGTTGAATGCAAAATCCTTAGCAAAGAATTTCAGAAGAATAATGCTGCATTTCCTTATGTCCCAGGAAGTACTTATTGTGATCGCTTGTCAGGTTGCCTGTGAACAAATCCGCTTTCTTAGATGTATTTGTGTTTTTCTGTTGTGTTTTCATAGAAACCAGGGGAAATGTGTGGAGGGCATGGTAGAGATCTTTGACATGCTGCTGGCGACGTCGTCTCGGTTCCGCATGATGAACCTCCAGGGAGAGGAGTTTGTGTGCCTCAAATCCATCATTTTGCTAAATTCTGGTGAGTTGGTGAAAAGGGAGCATTTTTTTCCATGTTGCTGGGAGAAATACTTGTTGTTTGTGCCTTTCAGCCAGATACCATCTACCTGCTACAAAAGAAAGATGCAGACCATTGGGAAAAGGTACCAACACACAGTCAAATGATCTGTGTTGTCAACAATGATTGAAAGAAAGATCAGGAACTGTGCTGGTCAAGTATGATGAATGAAAAGGGGACTATAAATCAGATGGCCTTCTTTCAGACATGTCTGCATTCTCCCGCACGTGGGGGATGTATTTATTAAAATAATATATTAAAATAATGTTGCTTGATCCATACCAGAAAGTAAGTTGACCAGGACACCTAGTTAAGAAATTATCCAAATTACCCTAGGTCATGGGAAAGAAATGTATTTGAGGGAGATGAATGATGTGCCTGGTCATAAAACATGAGCTGAAAAATATCATTGACTCAGAAAAAAATTTTTTTAAAAGAAGAAAAAAGCGTGTTTCTAAACCTCATGACTTTTTTTTCTTGGTTAATTTTAATGAAAGTTTACAGAGACTTAGGGTTTCCATTCATTCATTGTTGCTCTTTTCCCCCTGCCCACCCCTCCCCCACAATTCAATCTTCTCCTTGAAAAGTAAAAGAAAAACTCTCATTGTTATACAATCCCTCCCTCTAAGTCCACTCTACTATGCAGCCTTTGTTCTGGACTCCTGTCACGACAATAATACCCAATCATATATTCCTTTTAAACAGTTCTCTCCCTCATCTGTTTCAATGTGGTATATACATCATTCCTCCCTTCCTTCTCTGTCTTCCCTCAATCCTGTTTTACAACAGTGGCCTATGCAATATGTGTATATTTGTCCTTTTGTGATTGAGATATTTCACTCAGCATAATGTCATCCAGGGTCACCCAATTAATATAATATTTCATGAGTTTCTTGTTTTTCAGTGCCGCATAGTATTCCATTGTGTGAATATACCAGAGCTTCTCTATCCATTCATTTGTTGATGGGCAATTGGGTTGTTTCCAGCTCTTTGCTATTGTGAACAAAGCCACAAAAAACATGGGTGTGCATATCTCATTATTTTTTAAAAATTTATTTATTAATTTTAATGAAAGTTTTCAGAGACTAAGGGTTTCCATTCATTCATGGTTGTACTTTTCTCCCTGCCTACCCCCACCCCCTATTCACTCTTCTCCTTGAAAAGAAAAAGAAAAACTTTTTCATTGTTATGCAATCCCTTCCCCCAAGTCCACTCCACTATGCAGCCTTCACTCTGGACTTCTGTAATGACAAGAATACCCATGAATTACCTCAAGACTTTTAAAATGCAGGAAACTGGTCTAGCTGAAAGGGTAGCTTCATTTGGTCTGTGGAATTTCATTCTATTGTCTTCTCCTGTTTCGTTTTAGAAAGCTTAGCTTAGAGCACCATCTGTACCATTTGTAAGAAGGTTGACTGTTGAGCTCACCCAGATGGAGACTGTGGCACAGCTGGAATTAGCCCCTGTCTCTTCCCAACCCCATCAGGATTTGAATTCATAGCTGTGGAATCTGAAGCTCAGCAATTTTCCTTAGCCTGGGCTCTCAGCCCCCCCCCCTTCCCCCGCCCATCCTCACATCTGCCCCACACCTCATCCACAAACAAAGATCACAATGAATTTGAAATCCACTTCTGCTTTCGTGTCCTACTAAATTCATCAGCCAGACTTCATTAGACATAGCCTTGATTTTCTGACCAGCTGAACTGCAATTTGTACGGATCACACACTCCTTTTTTTCTCTTGCTCTGTCTCTTTCTGGTAAACGCCAATTCCTTCCCATCCCCCTCAGGACTTCTGACAATTTTCCTCTGTTCCTCTCTCCCCTAGTAACCTACGTTGCTCAATGGTTATCATAGAAATCATTCTCACTTATCACCTGATAAATGGCAGGCAGTATTATTATTACACTAGGCAGGGACTGAATTACAGAATGAAGTTACATGAGCAATAATCCGATCCACACTAAGGAAGTGATTACCACCCCATTCAAGTTTCTGGTCCCACTCACACACATTGTGCTTTTCATTTGAGCCACTTGTCCTGTGCATTGGAGGGTCCAGTTCCCACAATGGCACTTTATTGGATGGGGGATCTGGGAGCAGTGCCACTCGGCTGCACGCTGCCAGGTCCTGAACCTGCTCCTTCTTTGGCAAAGGCTGGCACAGGCTCACAGGCTCCGTGGGGCTGCCTGTTAACTTCAGGGAAAGCAGGCCCAGCAAGTCTGCAGACTCGGTTCTCACTCTAACCAGGAAATGATTCCCTGGACAGGAAGTGAAATCGCCTGGAGCTGTGCAGTCTGTAAAGGTGGGAGTTCTGATCTTGAGAATCTAAAATGATTGTCCTCTATTCTGGTATTTATTATTACTCTGTAGAACACGATTTTGCTTCATTCTGTTTTAAAAATGTACAGAAAAAAAAGCAAGATTTTTTGGTGTTGGGTTTTTTGTTTGGGGTTTTGGTTTTGGTGTTTTGGGGGATTTTTGGCTACATACTCTTTAACAATAGCCTTTCTTCTCAGGGTTATTTATTTTATTTTATTTTAATGGACATTTACAGAGATTTTGGATTTCCATTAATTCATTGTTGCATTTTTCTCCCTGCCCACCCCTTCTACCCAGTCCACTCTTTCCTTTGAAAAGTAAAAGAAAAATTCCTTCATTGGTATACAATCCCAGCCTCCCCAGTATACTCCACTATGCAACCTTCACTCAGGACTCTTGTGATAACCATAATACCTTATCATATATCGCTTTTAAACTGTTTTCTCCCTCATCTGTTTCAATGCATTATACATATAATTTATCTGATTTTTCTCAGTCTTACTCTAGGGTTATTTTAGCTCTCTAGATCCCTGGGTAGTGTGAATGGTTTGTGTTTTGGTACTATCTGAGTAACACCAGAGCTCTGGTGGCCTAGTGGGTAAGGAGTTGTGCTGCCAACACAAAGCCAGGAAGTTTGAATCTGCCAGCTGGCCTGAGGGAGAAAGATAGGCAATCCCCTCCCTTGTAATTTACAGCCTCTGAAAACCCACTGAGGGTCACCTATGAGTCAGTTCCAACTCAACAGCAACTCTCTCAGCTGTTATTTCAGACCCATAGTACCCCGATGGAAAGACTTAAGATCTGTTTCCATAAAGACTATTGTCATGTGCTGTCAAGTTGACTATGACTCATAGCAGCCCTGTGAGCAAGGCCCTGAACCCTGCCCTCACCCGAGCCAACTCTGACACACCTGACCCCATTGCCACAGGCACTGTGTCAATTCGTCTTATCCTGAGCTGACCCTCTATTCCTTCCGCTCCTTCCAAGGACTGATCCCACCTGGTAACACGCCCAAAGTATATGAGATGACGCTTCAAAATCCTTGCCTCCCAGGAGAAACCTGGATTCACCCTCTCCAGGACAGACCTGTTGCTCTCGTGGCAGTCCGTACTCCTCTCTAACAACACAACTCCAAGGTTTTGTATTGATCCTAAAAGATCGCAGCCAAGAGAATCCCCCGGGGCAGTTATGTTCTGTGACACAATGTCTGCCTGAGTCACTATTGACTCATGACAAGAGGTTTGGTTTTGATTTAGCATCTGTGACACGTAACTTAGCACTGGCTTAGCTGGCTGACTGAATTCATTAGGCCCAGGCTTTTCATACCCCAGAGACCGGGGAAACCAATCTACCCGCAGAAAATCTTTTTTTATTATTATTATTTTTGTGTGTACCGTCAAATCACATCTGACTGGTACAGGAGGAGATCGTCCCTCCTTCTCCGGCAGAGCATCTGGTGGATTTGAACCATGTGCCTCTGGGATTGCAGTGCAGCTTCTTGCCAGAAACTCTTTTAGTGAAAATTATCACCATAACCTCTGAGCTATCACTTTCCACTACAGGACCTGCACCTCCACTGGCCTTTGAACACGGGCTCACCTTTCTTGTCCTTGTTTACCCACCTTGTTTACCCACCTTGTCCCTGTCCTTGTTTACCCACCTCTTTCCCAGAATCTCCTGTAAGTTTCCTTGCTTTGGCAGGTTTGAAATATTATTTTGGAAATACAAGACACTGATTGCTGACTCAGGTTATAGTTACTGTTGGATTAGGGATTGAGGGGAAGAGGGGGTGAAGGCTTTGAGAGGTTTGGTTTTGGTGGTTTGTTTTCGATTTTTGCCATATAACACCAGGGCAACAGCTTGTCTTTTCCGTCAAGGACAGCGCTGCAAAATCCTAAGATCAGTAACAAAACAGAAGCTGCCTCTCAACCTTGTAAAAATGTGCAGTAAATCTTCTCACTACGCACGTGAGCTCGTGGTATTTTGGAAAAAGCAGATCTACTGCTGAGCACAGCGCCTGGTGACTCCGATTGTTCCTGAAAGTCAGAGTCACACAGAACTGGGCTCTGAAATATAAAGACAAGATTTTGGGAAACTCCTTTATGGAGAAAGATTCATCTCTCAGAGGAGGGTTTCTATGGTCGGTCATTTCCCAACACCGCTTGAGATGTGGAATTTTCTAAAAAGCCAGCTGACTTTTCACTCAGAGCTGGGGCAGCTTTTCAGATTACAAAAGTCACCCTTCAGAAGTCTCTGACCAAAAAGGGCTGGAAACGATTCAGGAAGCCTGAGCTTGCAGACGCATCTGCCCCTGGGAAACTAATCTTCTGTGAAGGAAGGAGCCCGGCTCCTTCCACCCAGTCACCAGTGTGGTGTTTGTATCGTCTCTGTCTCTGGGGCAGAGGCATGAAGAGAATTGAAAGGTTGCAGCCAGGACCTGCTAGGAATGTCTTCTGGAACTCTTGAGAGGGGGCTCTCAAATGCCAGAATATCCACAGGATGTCTCTGACACAGCTGTTCAGAAGTGGGGGTACTGGTCATGGTTCTGCGTCATTTGGAATAACTTATTGCTTTATTTGAAAGAGCCCAGAATCCTCCACAGGACAAACTCTGTTTTTCCATCTCACACCAAAGGACAGATTA